CCATATACTTGGAATGCATCAAAGCTGTGGATTAATCCAAATTTTCCTCAATCTGACGAATTTAAAACACGGTTCAATATATATATATATATATATATATATATATATATATATATATAATATATATATTGATTTATATATATAAATTTCACTGCTTCTATACTCAACACATATTTTTCAATTATACATCTAACTGTTGTAGTCATTTATAAATACAGATTACTTTCTGTTCGGTGGGATAATAACTCCGAGAGGCTGACTCAAACCATCTCTCACAAAGTTACTCTGTCTCGGATGAGTTGGAAAAGGGCATTGTTCAAGTTAAAACGATTGGCCAATTAGTGGAGTTCATGCAAGTGAGTTAACTAATTTCTGTAGTATTAATTTAACTGGTGTTTTCATGTTAAAATTTGTAAAAATGCACATCTTTATTTCTCTTATTTTATCGTTTTAAAAGGGGTTGAACTTTACAATATGTTAGTTCTTACATTATATTTATCTTCTCTCTTTGTTATTCCGAAAGAACATCTTTTCTAGGTCTTTACATTACATTTCAAGTTTACTTTTTGCCTTTCTCTAATCATTTTTATGTCCTTGCATTACATTTCAAGTTTAGTTTTGGCCTTTAGTCCTCTTATTTTATTATTTGAAAGAGTGTTTGCTCATTTGGAAGATGAAAAATTCTTAAATTACATTTATGTTTTTTCTTTGATATTCTGATAGACCATTTATGTTTTTTCTTTGATATTCTGATAGACCATATTCTCTATGTCTTTTCATTACATTTGTCTTATCAATTTATTCAACAGGAAGGTCCATGTTGGATTGTCGCAAGTATAGAAAATTTAGAACTTGGAAAAGGATGATCCTCTCTACAAATTGATATCAACTAATTCGCCTTGCTTGCGATCAACGGCATGTCGGCACAGTTCCTCTAAATCCTAATCCATATAATAGAGGTACCTATCCTTTCCTCATGTCAATGAGTCGCCACATGGACTATCTTTTTTATGTCTTTACATTACATTTCAAGTTTAGTTTTGGCCTTTAGTCCTCTTATTTTATGGTTTGAAAGAGTGTTTGCTCATTTGGAAGATGAAAAATTCTTCAATTACATTTATGTTATTTCTTTGATATTCTGATAGACCATATTCTCTATGTCTTTTCATTACATTTGTCTTATCAATTTATTCAACAATTGTCTTATCAATTTATTCAACAGGAAGGTCCATGTTGGATTGTCGCAAGTATAGAAAATTTAGAACTTGGAAAAGGATGGTCGTATGTCAGCTGCAAGAAGTGTCAAAAGAAGGTGGATAAACTAGGAAACATTTATCAATGCCCAAACACCAAATGTAAACATGAAGATTACTCAGCAGTTATTAGGTAAACACAGAAGATCTATGTCCTTAATCCATCAAAAACTTACATTTATATCTCAAATCAAGTGTGCATTTAGGTACAAGCTTCAGGTTAGGGTAATGGATACTACTGGATCTGTTTCCCTATTGCTGTGGGACCGTGAAACCATGTTTCTCATAGGCAAATCCGCAAAAGAATTGAAGGAAGGGTTTCTTGAGGTATATCAACTAATTAAATTCATATTTGTTATTTGGAAAATTCTAACTCAAAATTTTATTATAGAATACTGGCGCTGTTGATAAGTATCCCTATCCAGTAGAGCTGAACAATATTCTCCAAAGAAAATTCATGTTTAAGGTTATTGTCAAGAGAGAGAACATTCATCTGCAAAAGGAAGTTTATAGTGTTGTTAAGCTCTCGGATGAGGAGCAACTGATAAACAAATATAGTCTTGATCAACCTCTGGATGACTTAACTGTATGTCATATTTGTTCACAAACTTCATAACATATTTAAATTGCAAATTTCCTTTATATTTCATAATTTGAATCATAATTTCAAACTCCTTTATTTATTAATTTTTGATAGGAACCTGACTTCAATAATAATCAAGTATTGGATGGAGAGAAGGAATGCGAGGTAAATACATAACTAATTTGTCCTTTAACATTAAAGCTACTTACATATCTTGAAGGATTTCTTTCTGAATAGATTTTTAGATTTGGAGTAGTTTTTTAATAACTTTAAAAGTTGTAGATATTCACTTTGTTTTTTCTATAGGAATGTATGAACACAGTATTAATATTTTTTACATTATTCATTCTGTTCATTAAATTATTTGTAGGGCATAAATTAATAAATCTTTAGTAACTATATGTTCTTTACTGTTTTACACTAATTTTGTAGTTTTATATAAGCAGGATTCCACTGAAGATAACGACTTAATCGATATTGCACATACACCTGCGAAGATAGGTATAACTAATGCGGCAACAATGGTTGAAAAAGATCCGAATGCACAATTGTCAGGAAATAAAATGAAGAGAGTATTTAAGAAGAAGAAAACAGCATAAGGTGTTTGGGAATGTTACAGTTGGATAAATTAAGAACTGTTTGATTAGTTAATTTACTATATTATTAGCAGCCTTATTAATGATGAACAGTATATTTGAATCATTTGACCTTTCTTCTTCTGTTAAACTTTTAAATTTTAGTTAATGTAGAGATTTCAATTGACATCATATTTAAACTGCTGAAGTTGCATCGTTTGATTTTGTTGTTTTGAAGCATCCTCCCTTTTAGCAAACATCTGTTTTGCAAGTACTACACTTGAATAATCTTTTGTGGTACATCCGATTGTTCTCTTTGATATCTTAACATTATTAGTTAAAATTTAATAATTACAGTGATTACTACTGCAAATTCTTAAGGTAAGAAAGTTGATTCGTTGCGCTACTCAGAGTATGGTACTTCCTGATATTCATTGCATCGTTTGAGTTTGTTCTTTTAAAGCATCTGCCCTTTTAGCAAACATGTGTTTTCAAGTACTACTCTGGAATAAGTAGTTGGGGTACATCCGATCGTTCTCTTTGATATCTTAAAATTTTCAGTTCAATTTTATTAGTTACACTGATTGCTGCTGCAAATTCTTTTGCAAGGATTCAAAGTTGATTCGTTGCACTTAATTTGAACCTTGTGATGAAATACTACGGTAAAAGCTCACAAGTAGTTGACTAAACTCAATAATGCAATTATGATGAGGAATTCCTCAAGCTAAGCAGGATTCACAAGCACTGTGTGGTAACTGCAACTTTGAGATTGCAAATACGATCCCAACTCAGTTTGCACAACCGAAGTTTACTTTGCAAATGCAAAGTCCCAGTCCCCAGTGATGTTTGCATTTGCGATCCTGACACCGCAAATGCGACGCTCTTAATTGCGATCAGGTATTCTCAATTTTGAAACCTGCAAATTTACAGCAGCAACAACTATACATCAGATATTCCAAATCAGTCATGAATCCATTCGATACTTACCCTATCCCTTCGGTTTCCCGAACCAACATTCGCACAAGTGTAATAACATCACACAAACCCGCTCGCTAACTCAAATCATCAAGATAACATCAAATATCAACAATCAATCATAAAAACTTAAAAAATTCGACTTAAAACTTGGAGTAGTATAAATTTCACATAATGCGTCGAAACACATTCTGATCACGCAGTATCCCAGTGAAGCACGCATACAAGTCCAATGTAATATACGAACCTATCGAAATCGTCAAAATATCAATTTGAGGTTGTTTACCAACAAATATCACCGTGGTCAAATGTTGTCACGACCCCAAACCCGGTCGTGATGGCGCCCAACACTAATGCTAGGCAAGCCCGACCATTTACTCTCTCAACCCGAGCACAAAGCTCAAAACCAATTAATCAGATACTTAAAATCAAATGTTAATACTCATAGTTGAAATACTCAATTAAAATAATCCGAAATACTGACATAAACTGTAACTCCCAAAGACCTGGGGTCATGAGTCTAGAGCCTCTAACTAATACAGAGTCAAGAATCCTCAAAATAAGTATGTTCTAAAGTACGGAAATAATAAAGGGATAAGAGAGGAGTCGGGTCCTGCGGATGTCATAGCAGCTACCTCGACCACTCCTGGAACTCTGGAAACCAGCGGCTAGCTCAACTAAGCTCCCGAAGTACCTGAATCTGCACACAAGGTGCAGGGAGTAGGGGTGAGTACTACCGACTCAGTGAGTAATAAGCATATAAAATGTCTGAAGATAAGAAATCCACGAAATGCCACAAGTAAAAGCTAAAA